ACTTTAAAAACATCATCAGCCGGTGGACAGTCTTGATCCTCGAGGGCTGCAGCCCTGCATGTTTTACTTGTTTCTCTGGCACACCTGATTTGAATGAACGGGTGATTATCAGGCTTCTACAGAACTTGAATGAGGAAATTCAGTTACTGAATCGTTTATTTGCTAACATTATTATTATTATTTTATCTGTGCAGTCTGTACTGTCAGACGTCCCCAGATCTGTTCTTTCTGGACCGCTGTCCTGAATGTTTTACATGTTCTGCTTATTTATTCCTGACTAAAATGAATAATTGAATGGCTTCTGCTAAACTTTTTTATATTCTGGGTAGGTAATTAAATTATTTGAAGTAGGTTGTAAAGAAATGTATATATTTTTTATGAATATAAGGACCACAAATAACCGTTAAGCCCAGCTGAAGTGTCTAAAACAATTCAGAATCGTGCTCAGGATTGATCACAAATGTAATGTGTTGCGTGTGTTCTTTTCTTTCAGTCTCTGAAGTCTTGTGGGTATGTCAAGGAGCAATTTGCCTGGCGTCATTTTTACTGGTACCTCACCAATGAGGGCATCCAGTACCTGAGAGACTTCCTTCACCTTCCACCAGAAATTGTGCCCGCCACGCTGCGCCGCCAGACCCGCCCTGAGACAGCAAGGCCAAGGCCTAAAGGTAAAACCCTAATTTACAAGTTATATACGACACTTGTACAGAAAAGAAAGACAAGGAAATAATTACAAAATTTACAGTCTGTTGGTTTGCATTTTATACTTTCTTTGACGCTGTTTAAAAATTTGAAGTTTAGGTCTCAAAGTTCTAAAACAACAAATAAATAAAAATAATAAAAGTTTTACGCGGACCTGTTTACTACTTTTACTTTTCATATTGAAGATGCATGTTGCTGATATGTGTGCAATTAAAATTTAACACTTTTTTTAATTGAATCATTTAAAATGTTTCTCTGCTTCTCAGCTTTAATGATTTCAAAAAGTTGAAATAAATTAAAGTATTTATTTTCAAGCAAAATGAATCTAATTTTCTTTGCTAATTTGTTCTGCAGGAATGGAGGGAGAGAGACCCGCCCGCCTCAACCGGGGGGAGGCTGACAGAGATGCATACAGGCGATCAGCTGCACCCCGTACGTATAATACTGAAAACTACTTTTCTCAGTATTCTTGGCCTTGTTTATCTGATCTGCATAAAAACTTTAAATGAGGCAGACAAATGTTGCCATAGGCTCATTTGGAYTAATTATTTAGGGTGGTATTTAACACGCAAATGCTTGCTCTTAGAATTAAAAAGGGAAAATGTGATGAGACCTACTATGAAAACATGACTGGATTAAAGAAAATGATATTGTAAAATTTTAATTGGAGCTTAAATTATCTTTGTAAAAATGATGAGGGGACAAAGTTCATCTTGTTTTTGTATTTGTTCCTCAAATGATGAGAATGATTGCAAATATACTCAGTGGATTAAAGATAAACAAAACTATCAGACCAACCAGGTAGTTTTTTGATCACAAAAAAATCTAATTAGTTATACTGACATAACAATGTGCCAGACTAACTTTGACAAATAAAATAGTCAGATTTTATAATGAATTCTTCTCCACAGCTGGTGCTGACAAGAAAGCAGAGGCCGGTGCTGGATCTGCCACAGAGTTCCAGTTTGTGAGTATTTTAAATTTTGTTTACCTGTGACAAACATTTGTCTGTAGAAAATGACAGTATTTCTCTTTAATGTCTCACAGAATGTTAAAATGCGCACGTTTTTATGGTTCTGGTGTTAAACATGAATTTCACTTTGTCTTTGTCACAGAGGGGAGGCTTTGGACGTGGTAGAGGACAGCAGCCTCAGTAAATGTGACTGTTTATTGCTAATAAAGAAAATCAAAAATGCACAGCTTTGTATTGTTGGTTTGTTTGTTCAAGATTTTTGAACACTGGTGACTAACGTTGACTCAGACTCTCAAATCTGCTAAATTGTTTTGTCTAATTTGCTTGACATATTTTGTAATACTCTGGATGTGAGGGTGGTGAGCATCTAAACTAATCAAAATTTATTCAAGCAGAATTTTAGGGTAATTTATTGCTTATTGGCTCGTGCAACCAATGATGGTTTCCATTTAGCACAGCTACCTTTTTTTTTGGCTTGCTGGAAACTAAAATATTGCTGTAACTGAAATGTAAGCTTGTTTTAACTTGGCTGAAACATTGTAGAAACTTTTTAATTTTATTGTTGATTCACAGTCATGGATTTGTTATATCTACAAATCTGCCCTTGATCACAAATCCAACCATTTTATATTAAAAAAAAAAACTACCTTTAAAAAAAAAAGCTCAAATTGTGTTTTCACTTTTATGAAGTTGGTTCAAATATGCKTTCAAACTTGCATTCAGTCTAAATGATTAAAGTTTTTGTCAGTATCAAGAGTTCATAACATCTGCACTGTTATATAAACATTAAATCAGTGACTCGTAGGGAGTGTGAACACAATGACAGTTGACAAAATGTGAAATACTGGTGTTTTATTTGTTGGCACATTTATATTACAATCTTCAGTCTTCTCACTGGTTTTATTCCACAGTCCCAAATGACAGGAAAACAATATTCCAGTGACCAAAAAAATAAAATTGGAGAACACATTTACAAGTATGTAACTTCAAGGCTGAGGTGAACAGCTAGAAGCGCACGTTTGTAAGTCAGTTGCAAGTATCTTAGTGGATGTCTCAAATTACTTTTTTTTTTTTTTGCAGTTAAACGTTTGATAAARGAAACCCCCTCAGTGCTGGGTGATGTGCTTTTAATACTACAGCATTGGCCACAAGATGGGGCCGGTTAACTGACACGGCAAACAATTTACACCATTAACCTTTTGATAAAAGAAGTGATTGTAAGCAACATCCTTCATTTTTGCTTTAGTCATGAAAAAGGAGAAACATGAGTCAAATACCATTTTTAATCCACATCAAATCTACTGTGAAACTTGAGAAAATGTCCTGAAGTTTTATACGGTACTCCCAAAATTAACTTAAAAAAAAAAAAACAGGAACTGATTGATTTTCTTCTWGTTTGCGAGACATGAACTTGTCAACTGATTGAAATAGAGCCAAGTAGTTGCAAATGTATCATTAGCTGTTACTTGTGAAAAGTCCTCACATTCATTTTGACAGTACCWTTCACTCGCACCAAACCAGCAAGTTATTTCTGTTTCTCGCCAATTAAACTGAGCTGGTTTTTGTTGTTTTTTTTTAATTTTACCAAATCCCATTCTAGTCGAATTGCACAATTTCTGCGAAGCCCGAGAGGTTCGAGCAACAACATGGTGCCAAGTTGGGCATCATAAAGAAAAACTTTGGCCCCCACACCTGTCAGCAGGGCAGCAGTAAAATGAGTTCAAAGTCTCTGCAGGAGGAGACTTTAACCCTCTTCTTGTTCCTACTGACACAGAAAGCAGCTCAGTTGTCACTGGTCTACAGYTTATCTGTAGCTGGTATTCACTGCGACAGTTAAGGGCCACCATTAAAACAAACTGGAAAAGCAATTCAGGTCATCACTACTGTCAAAGTCAGTCCTACTCCTTTTCTAGAAAAAACACATTTCAAAAAGATCCAGATATTTTCTGTGAGGGGTTTCTCATAATTTCATAAAACAAAATACTAGTTTATATATATATCCATCCATGATTAAATGTGCCTTTTACTGCTTGATGTAATTGTGCACCACATCTTTACTGGGTTGAAAGCCACTTTTATTTATGTACTTAATCAATCCGGTTGGAACAAATGTACAGAAATGTCAAAGCTATAATATATGCATGTATGTATATATACAGTATATATTTATTTCCAGGGATTAGAAAAATCCAACAAGGTGCTCCAATCTAATGAACTAAAAACATTTAGGTCAGACTGGACAAGATAGGACAAGTTACACAATTACTTCGGACTGCTGTCCTACTGGGCAGTTCTTGATAAATTTTACTGTATTTATTCATGTATAATACAATAAATTTAACCCTAAAATCATCCATACAGTAGGGGGGTAGTATTATACATGGGTTATTGGTGATTAGTTTTTTTAATGCTTTTTAAGCTCAAAAATGATCGTATTATACATGAATAAATACGGTAGTTTCTTTTTAAACCACAGCTTTAATATTTTGATGACTTCTTCCTGCACCTGTAGCTTTTTTTGTTCTGGCTGCAGCGACCTGTTTAGCTCGAAGGCAGACTGACTATGCAACCAGCTGGTAAACACAATGAAGAATTCAAAACTAATATATATATTTTAGGGGTGCAACGATACAGGAAATTCACGGTTCAGTTCGATACTTTAGTCTCACAGTTAGATACTTTTTCGATACAAAAAAGAGAAATTTCCATGCCCCTTTTAACTTGTAATTTATTTATATTAATTCTGAACATTTGTTTAACCTCAAAAGTACAGTTTTGTAATTAAATGTTGCTGAAACAGCAAGTTTCTCAGTGGACCTGTGCTTAAAATGCAGCCTGGGTGGAGTAGTCGAACACAGATCCACTGATCCTTCAACACAGAGCATCTTCAGAAGACATGTTGATAAAGTAAATTTTAAAAATCTGTATTGTTCTATACAGCACTGTTCGATACGGGTACATGTATTGTTGCACCCCTATATATACAGGTGAACTGGTAATAAGCTCAGAGGTGCTTTCATAATTGTCTAAAGTGCTATTTTTAAACTTGTTGGATACATAATCCGAAATAATCTCAACATTTTGCCTCATCAAATTAAAAGACGAGGTGTAAATTATTAAACTAACTTTTAAGCATGAGCAGTAATATTAATGTGCTTTCATTGAATCCTAGAGAAACCCTTCACAGGAAAATGCACTGATTAAATGGTAAACACCGCAGGCTTATTGCTCGACTAAGTAGTGATTTCTAATTTTATTCTTTTACAGTTTAAACTAAACGTTGCAAATCTGACTTGGCCTAAGAAAGGGGAAAATACTTTATGAATAGCCTTTATATACAGACTCTTTAATCTCACCCACAGCCTCATTCCTTGTTCTTTAGCCTCAGACGGACTGTGTGCTTTCTCAAGAGAAAATTCCCAACAGTTCCAGTGCCAACAAAACAAGTTAAATCAGTTTTCCAGGCTCAGCTGAAATGACACGTAGCACTCACAGATGCGTAAGAGGTGTTTTGTCATTTGTACTCTCACCTTTTGATCTATACAGAAATAAACAATTTACAATAAAAACCTCTTACATGCTATCTACAGCGCCTCCAGTTTCACAGTATTGAGCCGGCTGCCTCACGACACACCGAGGCCCCCGTGACACAGCTCAGCTAAAGAGACTTGCCGAACGTCAGAGAGGAAAAAAACAAAAACGAAAAGAAACAAAATATTAGCATCCAAAAGCATTTTACAAGTTTAAAAACAAGGTCTCAAACTGTACAAGGCTTGTTTGTTCTGCACCGAGCAAATACGGCATTATAGATCCGTTACTTTCAGCGTCAAGCACGAGTTCTGAGTGTTTTTGGGGATGCAGATTAAAGACTAAAGAAGAAAGGGTTAAAAAAAAWACTCAAGAACACAATAAAAGAGTGCCCGCTAAAGTCATCTGTGCTATGTTACGAACAAAATGTAAACAATTGTTTTCAACCGAAATGAATGTGAGGAGTCAAATRTAGACATGGGTTTTAATAACTTAAGTGATATGTGCTGTTTTTTWAGTCCATGATTTAGATTTTTTTCAGCCTTTAAGTGGAGGAAGACTCTGCAGTCACAAGGAAACATTTTAGAAAAAAGAGGGATTAAGAGGAGAGAAGGGGCTGATTTTATATTATAAGTTGACATTATGTCACTCTCAGAACAGAATACTGTATATGCTCGGCTTGAGAGTTAAATCTGTAGTGCTTTGCTAGCTTCCCAAATAAAAGAGAAAYGGCTGAAASTGAAAATCTACCCGAGGATTGTATTATTCTGTTTAAAAACAACTACAGTAAAAGAAAAACATGGAGAAATGTCAAAGACCTTGCCGCAAGTCTGCTGCACAATCAGCGTAAGGTCACTCAAGTGAGTGAGACAACATAACGGTGCTCATGCAAGACACTTTCCACAACTCTGTTCATTCAGATACAGACGAGATTTCTTAACCTTACAACAAGGGAGGGAGAACACTTAACGGGCATAGTCATTCCAAGAGAGAAAAGAAAAGAATGGCGAAGACGTTTAAAAAGACCAAYGAAAGCCTTCATCTTAAGCAATATGTGTACACTTTTACATTACAACAGTAAAAAGTAGTTCTTGCATTCAATAAACACCTCGCTAAGGGTGCAGAAAGGACTGGAAATGAGGGGGACACTTCATGCAATGTCAGTACAAAGGGGAAAAACGGGTTCAAAAATTACATTTACATTTACAAATATCCCGGACTATTCACCCAACACTTCTCATCAAGTCTGTGCCACAGTTCTGGCACCAAGGAGTTGGCAAGGCAAATCCATGTTATTGAGGAAAGAAAGAAAAAAAAAGAGAGAGATAAAGGGAGAGGAGAAAGCGAGAAGTGACACAAGTAAGAGCGCAAGTGGTGGCAAAAGCTCCTGGGGAAGTCAGAGTTGAGGTTTTAGTTATCTGATACCCGAGACGGAGCTCTGATTGATGCTGTAGGTGGGGGAGAGGTCCCCACCTATTGTGGTCACCAGTGGCGTTCCGTTACTGGTCAGGCAACTTTCCTGGAGAGCCTCGAAGTAGGTGGCCTGCACAGGTTTGTGACACCGCAACACTTGTATGGCATCGTCTATTTTAAACCATTCCCTTTTTCTCCCTGTTGACAAAACAAAGCAACCGCTGTAAAGACAGTTCACTCGTGACAACACAACAAGAAAAAGGCAAAACGAAAGCTGGGTCTGGACTAGTAATTGCTGATTGTTATAATCACAAGGACAGGAACTAAGAATGTTGAAATGCAAAAAAAAAAAAAAAAACAAAGCCACAGTTAAAGCATGTGACTGCCTGGGAAGTCTGTCTGCATGATCTCTTTTGTCAAGAAAACAATGTTTTACCGATGTTGACCGAGTCCTCCCAGTCTTCCAGCACCTCTGTTACAATAAGAACATAGACGTAGGTTCTGTGTTTTCTCTCCTTATTCTGTGAAAGCAAAAAAAAAAAAAAGGGGGGGGGTTTGCAAAGTTTTATTTATCAGTCACCATAACACAAAAGGCATTTCAACAAAATAATCCACAGCAAGTAAACAGCAGCTTACCTCAAATATTCCAACCAGGCGACCTAAAGTCCCCTTCACGCCGGCCTGCAGAGCAAATAAAGAGATTAGAAAATGTTGCCGCAATATTACAAGGACAGACAATTACATACCCTTTTTTTAAAAGTATAAAGACACAAAGAGGCTATAAAAATATAAAAAAAACTTTAGTAAAATGTAATGCAGCTTAATAAACTAATAATTCTATCTTTGAACTTCAGGGTGTTTTGTTGAGATGGATTAAGAGAGGTGCTGATGTAATTGGTATGGAAATGTTGAAACTAGCCTGTGTTTCTGCTGCAGTGGACTTCGCTGCATAAAAAGACACCAGTTTTTATTTGTGAGAGGTTTCGGCTCCTCCAAATAACACATAAGGACAATAAATGCTGAGACTCAAGTTATGCTTTTTTAATTATTGTGAAACCTTTGTTGCCCTGAAATTCAGCTTAGATAATGAGATACACCTGTCTTTAAAGAGACAAGCTGTGACTGTAAACTTAAATACTGAATAAATATTAAATAGAAATGAGATAAGCAAGGCCTTGCAGCTAAATCTGAGCTCTTATTTATAAAAAAAACAGTCCAAACTACAAATATATTAATAAATTAAGAAGAATCTGTGAAAAATGTCCAAATAAAATATACCAATTTCTGTCAGTTTTACTTTAAAAGGAAACTTTGCAAATCAACAAATCATTGAAACTGATTTATAAAAAAAACAGTCCAAACTACAAATATATTAATAAATTAAGAAGAATCTGTGAAAAATGTCCAAATAAACTATACCAATTTCTGTCAGTTTTACTTTAAAAGGAAACTTTGCAAATCAACAAATCATTGAAACAGATTTTTTTGTACATCTTTTCTATGAGTGTTGAAGTTGTGGATTATACAGCAGCAAACAAACAAGCCACTGTTACAGTTCAGCTCCTCACACAAAATCCCCAAAGTGTAAAGCAAGATTATGTTAAAAAGGTCAGAAAAACCAGAACCTTTCACTAACATAATCCCAAACAACAACAAAAAATGAGCAAATATTACATTCATTCCTCTGGAGAGAACAACCTGAACATTTCTTAGGGCTTTTGTACCTTTAAGCATATTTTAGGCCCAAAAAAACTATTCCTTGGCTCTCAACTCCCAGGTGAACAGACCCTGAGGTTTAAATACAGAGCAACGTCATAGCTGACATGTTTGAAGCAGCTTCTTCAGGTTACAGTTTCAGTCTATAAATAAATGTCGAGTCCGCGCACGGCACCGTGGACTCTGTGTAGCACTCTTCAAGTCCTCTGATAGATCACATGGCAAAGAACAGGCTCTCCACTACAAACTCCTAACCATGCCAGGGATTAAGTCATAGGCCAAAAGTCAGCCTGCATGTTTTTATGACATGGAAAATCTCTCACGGTCCTGATGTCATTGAAAACTACAAGGGCATCATCCAGAAAGAGAATGGACAAAACTGAATCTGCTTTACAGTTATGCAATGCTGCCCTGTGCCTTCATACTGCTGGGTGTATCACTGACAGTAGAATAAGGTCAGGAGGGGGGGTAAATTGACAAAGATATGCTGTTTAACATCTGGCTTGCTCCTGAGAGCTGGATTTTTATTCCACCCCACCCTGGCAGGACTCTAAACCAACAAGCACAAGCAAATGGCTCGCCACTCTTATGGTAATCAGAATAAGCTTGCCAGGATTAGAATTTGTCCTGTTACACCACCGTCCAATAAGAAGCTTAGAAAGCCAGAGAATATGGTGAAGTATTGAGCGCCACTCAAAATCACAATCGCATTTCTGAATGCAGCCTTTTAGCACTTTAACAAAGCTCAGTAGAGACTTCACACTTACTTTTGACCCCATGGAAATGTGCTGGCAAGCTGCAATGTCTTGCACCCACCACAGGAGCCAGGACAAGAGATTTTATCAATATCTGTAGATCACACACTCAACTCAACTTTATTTATAAAGCCCTTTAAGACAACCACAGCTGCAACAAAGTGCTGTACATATATAAAATCAAAACATGAAAACACAAGACAACGATTAAAAAAACACTAAAACCAGTAATAAAACAATAAAAATAGAATAAAACGTCTCAGGCTGTGCCAAAAGCCAGGGAGTAAAAGTGTGTTTTTAGACGAGTTTTAAACGTTTTAAAGGCTTTACTTTGTCAGAGGCTGTTTGTGCTAGGTGAAAGTTACAATCTGCAGTTCTCCCGTTTCCATTCTTATCAAAATGTTCCAAGAGATGAATAGGCTACATACCAGAGGAACACCTAATCTAAAAAAAAAAANAAAAAAAAAAAAAAAAATCAACATTTTGTCGTTTTAAGTAAAGCTGCGATGAGTGAACTGTTGTAAAACAAAAACAGCTAATCATAAACAAAAAATAATCAGTTATTTTTTAGTATGTTATATATAGTGTTTCTAGTAGGGCAACAACTGAGCACCTAGCATTTAGATTCATTTACCAGTTTGACATCTGATACAGCTTACATGTTGCCAGGCTCCCTCTCTTTGACCATGCAAACAAGATGACCGTATTGACAAGGAGGATTCTGAGAGCAAAGTATTAGCCCCAGTGTTAAATACAGATGTAATTACTGGAAACGGAACACTATACTCTCCTAAGCCTGTACACAAAAGTAATTTGCCAYAGTGCAAACGGAAATCAATTCAACAGCACTCTTGTTCTGAAGAAAGGCATGTGTTACCATCAGTGTTTGCGAAAGGGTAAAGCAATGTCTGACAGTTAAGTCTACACAGGAACCGCTAATGAGCATATCTGTTGGTTAGAAGACAGACACCCAAAAGTAGGGTCTAATAATAATATAAATCAAGAAAAATAAAAAAACACAGAATCAGAACCAACCTCTTCACAAACTTCTCGAGCAGCAGCAACATTGGGCTCCTCTTCGGGCTCCATTCCCCCTCCAGGAACTATCCACTTGTCAGGATGTCGACTACTGCTTACTAACAGCACCTGTAACACATTATTGTTTGATTTTACATTAGGTTACGGGTGTTAAGGCTAAGCCGTGCAACAAGTGAGACTGAACTGGAAGCTAAAGGTAAAATTACATCCCTGGAAAAAAATTATCCTCATCTACTGATGATACTGTTAACAATAAATAATTTTGTTTGAACAGCTTTCTTCGACTGTGACTCCTTTTAGTAAAATAAGCTTATTACAAAACAGCTTTGTGCTTGCTTGTTGACAACACACCAGTTTCTCAAACAGCAGAAGAGTTTTTATCAGTGTGGCTCAACTTCTTGCAACAACAGGATGATTTGTGCACAAAAAAAGCCTAGTTTCTAATATTGGAGTGATGCATCAAATCCAAGATTGTAAAGTTTACAGCAAAAATGCATTTACCTGTACGCTGACTAACCTGTCACTCAGAGCCAATCATTTAAAGCACCCCAACTAAATAGTTCAATTACAGGAGTTGGTGCTAAGGCTAGGCGTTAACCTAGAATGTAACATTGAAGAAAAACCATTAATATTTTAGTTGGTCTTTTTAAATATTCTATAATAACTTTTGTCCATCTGCCGGATCACAATGACAATGTCACCAATCTCATCAAAGCCAATCTGTACGCTGTGGCTGCTGGCTGACAGCCGGCTGCCCAGAGCAACAGCGCGGCTAGTTAGCATGCTAACATTAGCAGTAGCATGCAACTAGCAAACAAGCAATTTTGAATACAAGGACCCGAGGCTTTCCTCTGCACAGCTAAAGAGGCTTACATAACACCTGGGTAAAGTATTAAATAATATAAATTTTAAAACATACACTAGGTGGGACACACAGGGACAAGAAATATGAGTTGATAATCGCTAAAGCTACCGCTGTGATCATAACGGTATCTATTTAAAGACGGGCAGGATAACGAAAGCACCTAGGGGTAATCTTAGCATGGCCTGGCAGACAGAGACATCCACGAACTCACCTCCTCCTCGGCCTCGCTCCTGAAGCACAGGCAGGCGGCCCGCTTCTTGTAGCCATCCCCGTCGTACGTCCGGGTTTGGTTGGACTTGAGCTTCATCATTTCGGGAGCACGAAAGTTGAAAAGTACAGCTAAGTTTACCAGTTGTTCAGATGATGGTTATAGACGCAAAGCCCTCCTCCGGGGAACCTCGGCGTTTTGCTTAAAAGAAATAACTTCTTCTTCGCTTCATTTTCACAAACCTAGGCACATCTACCGCACGGTCGCCATTACACGGAGCCGCTACTACGCCCACGACGTAATGTAACCTTTAATAGCTCGAGCAGCGTAAGGTTGTTGCGTAACTGGAGTTGAAGAATCGGAGCAAGGGGGAAACGCAACACCACGCTCTGACTGGAGCGAGCCGGTGAGAGAAAATAGCGGTTTTGGCTCCAATTAGCCTGATAAGGCCACATATTAGAGAGGCTGATATAACTTCCTTATTTTTAAAAAATAAAAAATAAAAAAATTAAATAAAAATTCAAGCTAACATCATCTTAGTAAAAATGATGTAAAYATTTTAAGAAAGTGATAGTTTGATCACTTTCAGCAGTATTATGAATTAAAATTCAGGATTTATTTCATGCAGTATAAGTTTGTTAATATAGTGCCAATTAATTCACAATAAACAAAAGATGTAAGAAGTTGACAGGTCAGTTCATTAATTTATATAATGATTTTGTGGATTAATTAGTAGAGATGGACAATATATTAAAAACTAGTTATGTTCAGTATAGTCAAATTATATGATTCAAGCATTATTGAATGGTAATTTTTCTGTCAAACTCATAGCAGCAGATTCCAAATATTATGTACATTTAATTTTCCCTTAATAAGCATGCTTATATGGCTGATTTCAGTCATTTAATTAGCTCCAGATTTTTGATAAACACTTCAAATAGTTATGCACTCAACTGTAAACATCTAGATAATTAGATAATGGATGCACACATGTAGACAATTGAGCTGCCACTTATATTCTGCTTATTTTACACGCAGAATGAAAATAAGCTTATTTAAAAACTTTTCTAAAAGTTTGTCTTTTTCCCACCCGAGTTCAACTTCCTCATAAGGACATTTTATTCAGAGGAAGATGCCAATCCTCACTGTTAAAGTTTTTCTATTAAAATAGTACACATGCCAATGTTTGAAATACTGCCATTGGAAATATTGCTGCATCATTTTCAATCAAGATTTTAACTTCTTTATTTTATTGAATCAAAACTGGCTCAGCTTGTCAAAAAGATTCACATTTGTTATTTCAGGGGTCATCACAGGGAGCCAACTTGCACTGGATGTCCTTCCTGACACAATGTAGACAAGGTTACAAGACCGTAGCACTGGCCATCCACTGCAGCACCAAAAAATTAAATAAAATAAATAAAATAAAAAAGGAAGAAAAAAAACTTTTGATAATTCAATTGGATTTAGGTCTGAACAAAAAAGGTTTTCCCCAAAAAGCAAAGACAAGGGAATAACATATACACAGGTTTTCTAAAAGACACTGGAATGAAAGTTTCACGTTTCTTAACACACAAATATGTAGTTCACAATGTGACTTGTTACTGTTTTGAAAATATTTCTAATACAAATGCAAATGAAAAGTTTTGAAACAGCTTCTGCCTGATCCTTACTAAGTGTTCTGTAACTTTTACCATCTCATACAGATACACACAAGAAAAGAAAAATAATTTCTGCGACCCCCAATTATCACACAAAACAATACATAAAATGATGACTTTTATTTAAACCAATAACTCTTGGGTGTTCTATTGATTGTTCAAATTGTTTGACATTTTATTTCTTTCAGACTCTTATTTTATCTTAATAACCAGTTTCTTTTTTCTCTCTTGAAGTCATATTGTCTTTATTGCAGCAGCAATCTAATTTCCCACCAGTGATCAATACTGTTTCTTTAATCTTATTATTTATTTTCTGCTCAAGTTTCTCCCCATGGGTGTTGACATTTGAACAGTCTCTTACCTTCCTATATCACACCCTGGACCCTTTTTTAAAAAGAGAAATATTTGTCTTTTAAATGCACCTAAATCTCTACTGATATTATTATTATTATTTTTATTATTATTATGCCTAAATACATATTTAAATGTGTAACGTGTTCTAGGCATATTTAATCTGAATGATTTTGCCAATATATGTTTCACAAAAATACATGAACTTCAAATTCGAAAGGTTGTGAATAAAAAATATATGTAAATCAGTAAAATCCATGCATTTATTTTAAACTACAAACTGATTTTTATTGCATTGAACTAGAAATACTGAGTTCATCCTGATAAGCACAGATCTTGTTTTTGTTAAACCGAACCACCTTGAGCTCCAAGGTTAAGAAACTCTTGAAAAATGAATGAGATAGGCATCTTATTCTAGTCTGAGTAGGTTTTTGAAAATCTGAAGAGAGCTAACATTATTTGTCATCCTTATCAAGTCGATTTCCTTCCACTCATTTGCACAACCAGAGCTTGGTGTTTGCCTCGATATCAGTAACATCTGTTTAAACTCTTTCATTAGTCATTTTTCTGAACTTTTTATCCCTCAAAGTTGGACCAATTATGTTTTAGCCTCTGTGTTTGTTTGTGTCGTTAATAAAACATCTCTTGAACCACTGAACGGATGTGAAAGAAATTGTCAAAATAGTAATCATTAGGACGACAGCTCATGTGCTTTTGATTCAAGATGGCCGCCACAGCAAAGCAATACAAGGAGACATAAAAAAGGCTGGAGCATGGAAAAGAATGGGATTTTGTTTTGTTTTGCCTGTAAATAATATAGCAGTGTTATGTTTTTTTTTTATTTTCATTATTCCATTTTCAACAAACCCTTGTGGGTAAGGGATTATTGCGGTCAAGTTCAAAGTGTTAAATCGATTCTTTCATCTCTGCCCACAGAAAAAATGAACACAACCCAAAGAAAGATGCTTTGATGGCATTTTTATTTTATTTTACTAAATCAACACATGAAATAAAGACAAACCTGAAACAACCGAAGGGTCAGAAAGAGTTTCATTCTGAGACAAATGTGCTCTTTTACACCATCATTTCCTGTCTCTCTTTCCTCACCTTTTTTTTTTTTTTTCAGGCAAACAAAACAATGCCTTACACAATTAAACATAACTGTGCAGGGTCACTCAAGAGGCTGCACTTTTACTATCTGCTGTTGCCAAGGCAACCTGTTCTCTTTGCAGTTCTCTGGTGAACCATTCACAGAGACAGAGACAGATTACAGTCCCTGCCCTGTCCAAAAGAGGGCGCTCACCGTGTTCGCTGAACAAGCTCTGTTTTTAACAAAACTGAACTGATGCAGGATGGCAGGCATTGACTTGCACCTGCTCAGGTGGTTGGCCTCTGAAAACATTGTTGAACAGTCATGATGAATTTCAGGATTCTTACACTTTGCAGGTTCACAGACTTGACCTCAGTTTATTTTATGAGTTTGTGCACAAAGGAAATAAAGTCTGGGGACATGATTTAATTGTGGAAAACTTTCTGATGTCATTGAGCTGATTTGTGGTATTTATTCAGTGTACCCAACACACAACATTTGTTAAGAACAGAGTTGTGCTTTAAGTATAATTTTTGGATATCTGTACTTTGCCTGAGTAATTTTTTTCAACCTGCTTTTTACTTTTACTTCTTAAATTTTCACACAGTTATCTGTACTTTCTACTCCTTACATTAAAAAAGGGCAAGAAGTATAAAGTTGTAACTTTTATTTTTTTTCTTGTTTTAATTCCAGCTTGTAAAACATAAATACTATCAATATAAACTGTGCCTCCTAGATAGAGTGAATTTAATTATGATTGAACGAGAAGTCTAAATATATAAAATTCTGATACCGTGTTAGTTTGTACACAAACAAATCATGTCACACTCCAGCAGGGCATAGCAGACATATGTTGCCTAGTATGAAGATGCATGTGGTGTCAGAGGTGCCCAAAGTGGGGCTCATGGGCCAAAAATGGCCCACCAAGCCATTCGATTTAGCCCACCATCAGTTGTTACAAGGTTGTAATCTGACATCCTATGTAGAAACATAGTATTTCCACCCAAAGTCATTCCATTCATTGGCCCAATTTAAGGGGCTGTTGTGCAGTTAGTCAAAAACATGAGCTACAGCACTGGCTGCTACCTTAATCATTAAAAATAAAAGGACTGTACTTTTATCTGTATTTCATGAATTATATTCTTGCATTTGGCCGCAGCCCTTGGAAAGATTTTCATTTTGGAGTAAAGCTTTGGGCACCCGTGATATATGTAAATAAACTGAAACAGCTAGACTAGTGCATCCTAAATTTAACATTAAACATTATTCAGAAATACATAGAAAATCCAACTGCTCATTTCAAATCAATACTTTTAGCACTTAAGTACAAAACATATCAGGTACTTTAAGACTTTTATTCAAGTAATATTCCTAAAGGAGACTTAAAGTTTTACCAAAGTAATTTTTTGGTGAGATACTTTACTCAACTATCACTTTGTGGTACTTTATACAACACTGGTTGAACAAGAGGGGAAAAAATGTTCTCTTTATTTTGCAGTTTACTTGCACACTCATACCGATTGAATAAAAAGAGCGAGCTGACATTTTTTCAGATGCCAGTCTGGCCTCCTCTGAAGTTATTATTTGCACCTGAGGGGGTTTCTGCCCTCTGCACAGATGCAGAAGGGCTTTTTTTCTGCCTAATGATCACTTATTTGGTCCCTGTAGTTCTGTACTAAGGTTCAAATAGTGGCCACTGACTTTTGCAAGGCAAAGCAAATTACTTAATTTTAAACATTAGGTTAGTAAATGTACCTCATCTAAGTTGTAAATGATGTCGAGGGTGTGGTGTTCTAGATTAATTTTTTCCTAATTAATTCAGGGAATAAGACTTTTTAGTTCAAAAGAAAACGCAGTATTAACACTGGGCCGGGTGCCCTGAGGCCTCTGGTTCATCTGAGCTTCACTCAGTCTGACACATGACCCTCCTACAGACATGTTTCTCAGCTCGGTTTGGACTTTTTGATTGCTTTGAGCCGCCGATGATATTCTTTGGGGAGATGGAAGCGGGGGTAGCTCTGCCGTGTTTTTTATTCTGGGTTTGTCATTAATTGATTGAGTCATTCTCTTTCAGATCAGCCACGCCCACTTACCCTCCATTCCCACTCATCTCATCACCTGACCTCCTCCACCCTTCTGCTTGTTCCCGTCCCACTTATCATATCTCTTTCACTGAGGTTTTTAATCTTACATCCCTCCGCAGCTCATTGTTCGGGTTTTTCTGAGAGTTTCGTCCTTTTTGCATCCCAGCTATTTGTGAACTTCTCTGTCTCCTCTTTCTCACCAGTTTTGCTTGCACGACTG